GCTCTGGAGAGCTTGCGCCCGGCGGACTTCTGTCGCACCTCCGAAGCGACGCAGAGCTTAGCCAGCTCATCCCGACTCTGCTTCTCCAGCTCGGTGCGGAGCCAGGCTTCGCCCTGCTCGGCATAACCCGTGCGCAGCTCGAGCAGCCTTTGCTGCGACGCCGCTTCATCGGCCTAACACCAAGAACTGCTTCATTGCAGAGCACTAAACATCCCACCCGACGACGACGCTGACAGCTCACTGCAACCGAAGCTGACATGGACAATCCTCAAGAACGCCGCTTCCCCATGAAGCCTGCTCCCCGGCAATGCTCTGTGATAGAGCTTCCAACAGCTCCGCTCTGGAGAGCTTGCGCCCGGCTGACTTCTGTCGCACCTCCGAAGCGACGCAGAGCTTAGCCAGCTCATCCCGACTCTGCTTCTCCAGCTCGGTGCGGAGCCAGGCTTCGCCCTGCTCGGCATAACCCGTGCGCAGTTCCTGCAGCTTTCGCTGCGAGGCCGCTTCATCGGCCTGACACCAAGAACTGCTTCACTGCAGAGCACTAAGCATCCCACCCGACGACGACGCTGACGGTTCACTGCAACCGAAGCTGACATGGACAATCCTCAAGAACGCCGCTTCCCCATGAAGCCTGCTCCCCGGCAATGCTCTTTGATAGAGCTTCCAACAGCTCCGCTCTGGTAAGCTTGTGCCCGGCAGACTTCTGTTGCACACCCGCAGCGACACAGAGCTTAGCCAGCTCATCCCGACTCTGCTTCCCCAGCTCGGTGCGGAGCCAGTCTTCGCCCTGCTGGGCATAATCGGCGCGGAACTTCTGCAACCGCGAATCCATGGGATGGAAGAAGGCGTCCACGCCGGCCCTTTCGCAAGACAGCGTCGAGGCAAGCAAAACACTGTCCCAAGTATGTTCAAATGCAAAAGTGTCTGCACCGACCCTTTCGCAAGACAGCGTCGAGGCGGGCAAACAACTGTCCTAAGTATGGTCAGCTGAGAAGATGAGAATAAGCTGAGAATAATCTCCACACCGGCCCTTTCGCAAGACAGCGTCAAGGCAGGCAAGGAAGCGTACTAGGTGTAGTAAGATGCTGCAATGTGTGCAAAATACTGCAACGCGTTTTCCCTTTCTTCCCCTTCTTCTGCCTTTCGAGCCAAACGAGGCAGGCAAACGTGCAAGGAGAAAGCCTTTACAGAGCAGCAAGAAACTCCGAGCCTGCAGAAGTCATCGGCCAGGCAGCCTGCGAGTCGAACGTGTGCAAGGAGAAAGCCTCTACAAAGCAGGAGGAAGCTCCGAGCCTGCAGGTCATCGACCAGGCAGCCTGCGAGTCAAACGTGTGCAAGGAGAAAGCCTCTACAAAGCAGGAAGAAGCTCCGAGCCTGCAGGTCATCGACCAGGCAGCCTGCGAGTCAAACGTGTGCAAGGAGAAAGCCTCTACAAAGCAGGAAGAAGCTCCGAGCCTGCAGGTCATCGGCCAGGCAGCGGCGCGTTGCGCCGTCGCAAGACAGCGTACGCGCCGTACAGGCGCATGAATATATGTCTATCTATCTATCTATCTATATATCTATTATCTATCTATCTATCTATCTATATATGGATAGATACAAAGATATATATATATATATATATATATATATATATATATGTGCGTATATTATCGATATATGCATCTGCCAATCCCTCTGAAGGGTTGCCAATTGCACCTCGCAGAGATGCAAGTTCCTGCAATCGACCACATATATATATATATATATATATATATATATGTGCGTATATTATCGATATATGCATCTGCCAATCCCTCTGAAGGGTTGCCAATTGCACCTCGCAGAGATGCAAGTTCCTGCAATCGACCACATATATATATATATATATATATATATGTGCGTATAATATCGATATATGCATCTGCCAATCCCTCTGAAGGGTTGCCAATTGCACCTCGCAGAGATGCAAGTTCCTGCAATCGACCACATATATATATATATATATATGTGCGTATATTATCGATATATGCATCTGCCAATCCCTCTGAAGGTTGCCAATTGCACCTCGCAGAGATGCAAGTTCCTGCAATCGACCACGCCACTCCCTGTGGAGAGTTGCACGGCGGAAAGGATACAAGTAGTAGTTTGCACACACGTTTCAACCCTGGACCACGCCAATCCATGCAGAGGGTTACACGCAGCGCCCAAAGACCATGCAACAGTACCTGCACACCTTCCGATTAGAACATTCGAGGAAGCTAATCCCTCTCAATGAAGGATTGCGCGGGGCACCGCAAAATGTGTAACTTTACCTTGCGTTCGACCACTCGACCACGCCAATCCCTGTGAGGGGTTGCAAAATTCATTTCAATGCTCATCAAAAATTGCAACTTTACCTCGCGTTCGAACACTCCACTACGCCAATCCCTGTGAAAGGTTGCAAAATTCATCTCAATGCTCATCAAAAATTGCAACTTTACCTCGCGTTCAACCACTCGACCACGCCAATCCCTGTGAGGGGTTGCAAAATTCATCTCAATGCTCATCAAAAATTGCAACTTTACCTCGCGTTCGAACACTCCACCACGCCAATCCTTGTGAAGGGTTGCAAAATTCATTTCAATGCTCATCAAAAATTGCAACTTTACCTCGCGTTCGAACACTCCACCACGCCAATCCTTGTGAAGGGTTGCAAAATTCATTTCAATGCAAATCAAAAAATGCAACTTTACCTCGCGTTCGAACACCCGACCACGCCAATCCCTGTGAAGGGTTGCAAAATGCAAATCCCTGTGAAGGGTTGCAAAAAAAATTGAACTGCACCCAAACCCTGTGAAGGGTTGCGCGGCGCCCGCAAGAAGTGTAACTTTACCTCGCGTTTGAACGCCCGAGGAGGCGAATCCCTGTGAAGGGTTGCGCGGCGCCCGCAAGAAGTGTAACTTTACCTCGCGTTTGAACGCCCGAGGAGGCGAATCCCTGTGAAGGGTTGCGCGGGCACCGCAAAATGTGTAACTTTACCCGCGTTTGAACGCCCGAGAGTTCCAATCCCTGTGAAGGGTTGCGCCGGGCGCCTAAAATGTGTAACTTTACCTCGCGTTTGAACGCCCGAGGAGGCGAATCCCTGTGAAGGGTTGCGCGGGAACCGCAAAATGTGTAACTTTACCTCGCGTTTGAACGCCCGAGAGTTCCAATCCCTGTGAAGGGTTGCGCCGGGCGCCTAAAATGTGTAACTTTACCTCGCGTTTGAACGCCCGAGGCAGCGAATCCATGGGAAGGGTTGCGCGGTGCGCCTAAAATGTGTCACTTTACCTAGCGTTTGAACGCCCGAGGCAGCGAATCCCTGGGAAGGGTTGCGCCGGGCGCCTAAAATGTGTCACTTTACCTAGCGTTTGAACGCCCGAGGCAGCCAATCCCTGGGAAGGGTTGCATTCCCGATGGACCCCGACGGTGCCACCCCCGCCAATATTAAGAAATATTAAGATACCGAGATGTAGAGAGTAAGTCATAAGTCATAGTAAGTCATAGATGCATAGAGAGTCAGTCATAACAGTCATAAGTAAGTAAGTATAGTAAGTATAAGTAAGCAAGTCAAGTAAGGTAAGTCATAAGTCATAGTAAGTCATAGATGCATAGAGAGTCAGTCATAAGTAAGTAAGTATAGTAAGTATAAGTAAGCAAGTCAAGTAAGTAAGTAAGTATAGAGATAGCATAACATAGAGTCCAGTGTCAAGTGTCAAGTGTCAAGTGTCAAGTAAGTTAGTAAGTAGATTGAAGTAAGTAAGTAAGTAAGTAAGTCGTAAGCATAACATAGAGTCAAGTATCAAGTGTAGAGTCAAGTATCATAGAGTCAAGTGTCAAGTGTAGAGAGTCAGTCATAAGGGTCAAGTAAGTAAGTAAGTATCAAGTGTAGAGTCAAGTATCAAGTGTAGAGTGTAGAGTAAAGTATGGAATAAAGTGAGTTGATTCTATGTCTGTCATCTATGTACTCAGCTGCGGCGTTCCACACTGAAGAACCCTTCGCGATGCTTTCGGGAAAAGACTTGTAGTTTCCGAGGGATGTGAAAGCGTGTCGATGTTAAAGTTGTTGAGGTGCTTCAAGCGAATGGCAGATACCTGGTTCGAACTGAGGTGTGCGTAAGCTGCGACCCTATACCGTGGCAGCACAAGCCGGTTGGTGTTGAGAGGTCACGAATCGTGGTGCTGGAAGACATGAATTCTGCAGAAGTGCCGCATGTGCAGACGAAGGTGTGGCGTCGGAACCAGCATGCAAAGACAGAAACTGAAGTTCCGGCACACGAGGAAGTGCTGGCATGACGGAGGTTGACATGTGGAGGAGTCCTGGGAAGGATGAGGCTATTTCTCCGACTAGAGAACCAGCGAAACCTGTCTTTTGAATGACTATCTCGAGAGCTCATCGTACAAAAGTCCAACAGCTGTAAGTTTCTACAGGTCGACTCAGGGGCACGTGAAACTTGCTCAGAAGACAACCAGGTAGTGTCTCAAGGGAATTCACGCACCAGAGCCGCAGACAATCAGCAAGTGCATGGTGTGCATTCCGCAGGTGTTTGTTCTTGGAGTTGATGCGATTCGCTCTTTCTCTTGCGAGGTTGCAGTCATGTTACCAGCATATCAATGATGTCATGCTTCGCGCATCCGATCTCGCCTGGAGTCTCCAGCATCTTGAAGCCCTGCATATGGTTTAGTGCGCCTTGAACTCTGGTGCATTCCATCCCAACTGATTCGATTCCGCTTGTTAGTGCAGCGGTTCTATCACGTGGAATGTTTGAGGTCGATTGCCAGGCCTTCCGAAAACAGGTAAAGATCATGATGGAAGCTTCGCTTGCAGCATCAACAAATCGACGTATGTGGAGTCGGAATAGATCGAAACCAAAATGAAGCTGCCAGGTGAGCTTAGACAGACAGCTGAGAAGAAGTCACGCGAGAAAGGGTACATTTGCGAGCCAATAATGACCACTCGGTTTTCGGAACTTTCGTAAGTTGGGTTGACGTCATCTCAGGGGCTTCTGGCTGCGCTGGGTGCCAGCACTCCGTGATGCATCAATGCTGCTGTTGCTGGCTCGCATGCTGCGCGCTGGGGAAACCGCTGCCGAGCTTCTGTACCTCTGCTGGATTAACCTCGATTGTAGTTTCCAAGTGTGGCGGCTTCATGTACTTGTGGTGGAATGGCTGCTTAAAAGCGCATGTGCAAGCATTGAAGATCACAGTCTGCAAACCTCGCATGGCGATTCGCGAGCGACTTGAAGGCTCGTCGGCTTCGGCTTTCGCATTTGCAACTAATCGGGCTCAGAGTGAAGGTACAGCAGCCGGATCCTCACCACACAGCGGTCGGAATTGTGGCAAAATACCCGTGAGCGGCGGGTGCTTGCAGTATTGAGGCTCGGTGCTGGATTCTTTGCCACTGTGTTCTCCTTCCAAGTGCGAAGACAATGATAATCGCATGGTGATTGTGCTGCCGACGGCCATGGTGATGCTGATCTGGATTGTGGCGACGGCGTTGATGATTCTCACGGTGCTGCTGCTGCTGCTGCGGCTGCTGCTGCGGCTGCTGCTGCTGCTGATGGCAAAGGTGATGTTGATGCAGCAGCTGCCGGTCCTGGCTGGTCATGATAATGACAACGGCGGTGACGGTGGTGCGCTGGTGGCCATGACTGTCATGTTGTTGTTGATGACGATGATGACGATGAAGCCGCTACTGTTGCATAGTGCGAAGATGAGGAAAGAAATGCTTGAGTCACTTGAGTTGATATTTCTGGCGGGAGGAAGGGCAGTGGTTGTAGCAGTGACGGTCGTGGTGCTAGTGGCCTTGCCGCTGCCAACATTGCCGCCGGTCGTTGTCGTCGTGGCAGCAAGGGCAGTAGCACGCGGATGCGGAGGAGGACGAGGAGGAGCGTGACGAGGACGACGAGGACGACGAGGAGGAAGAGGATGAGGAGGATTGCCGTTCTTACTGCTGTGGCTGCAGCTGCGGCTTGCGGCTGGCGGCTTGTGCTGGTGCTGTTGCTGTTGTCGTGCTGTTTTCTGTTGCTGTTGCCGTTGCTGCAGTTGCCGTTGCTGCTGCCTGCTGTTGCTGCGGCTGTTGCTGCTGCTACTGCTACAGTTGATGCTGCTGTTGCATGTGTTGCTGTTGCTGTTGTTGTTGTTGGTTTTGTTGTTGTTGTGGTGGTGGTGGCCGTGGGGTTTGTTTGTACCGCAGTCAGGAGAGTCCAGACGTCGCGACGGGAACTAGGTCGGCGATTCGCGTCGCCGGCTGCGTCTTGCAACACGCAGCTCATGTGCGTACCAGGGCTCGGCCACTCCACTAATGAAGGGCAAATCAAAGGAACTGAAGGTTCAAAGACGAAGTGGTGGCCTTGGGGGTGAAGGTGGTGGTGGTGGTGGTGGTGCTCGTGCTGGGGCTGGGGCTGGGGCTGGGGCTGGTGCCGTTGCTGCAGATGTTGCTGTTGCTGTTGCATTTGCTGCTGCCTGGTGTTGCTGATGCCTGCTGTTGCTGCGCCTGTTGATGCTGCTACTACTGCCGTTGCAGCTGCTGTTGCATTTGTTGTGGCGGCCGTGGTGGGGGCGGTGGTGGTGGTGGTGGTGGTGGTGGTGGTGGTGGTGGTCAGGGCTTTGATGCTTCCCATAATTTGTCAAGGCTTGGGTGACATGCAAACGTCAGGGGTGCAGTGGAGAAGCAAAGCAGCGAGGAAGCACCTTGACCGCACTCTGACGTAGTATTGCTAGCAAGATGCGTTTTTTTGCATGCCTCTCGTTTGTTGCTGTCTTCGCCACAGAAGCCCGACGAGAAGTCTCTGCTGGACTTGGACGACTCTGTGCCATTGGCCTTCGAGCGTGCGTGTGCCGAGCTCATCGCTTCCGGCAGCCCAGGCTTGGACTTTTGACTCGTGTTGGCCACAGCATCACAGAATGTCTTGGACAAAGTGCAAGAAGGGAAAAGAAACAAGATGTTCCATGATGCGACAATACATGGCTATGGCGTATGTCGTCGTGGAACATGGTTGGTGTATACGATGTGTGACAAGTTGCCCTGGGCGACGACGTGTGTGCCCTGCGTTGTTCTCTGCCACTGCCTAATTGTTTTGCCAACCCAAACTTCGAGTAACAAGTTGCAGCATGTTCCAATGCGTTCGCGAGTCAGTTGGCTCGCGAAGGCTCTGAGCTGTGGCTGAGCCTGGCCTCTTTGGCCGAAGGGGAGGACTGAAGCGAGAAAGCGATTGCAAACCGACACTGTTTGAGCGACCGGCTCACCGGTGAGCTCGTGCGGCAGGATGAAGATAGTGACGACTTCGCAGAGTTCCGAATGAAGCGCGAGACTAGTGGCTCCAGTTCCTCGGCATGTGCAGCTGCAGAACTTGTTCTCAAGTGCAGAAGCTGCATAGAGTAGATCCTTGCGTGGTCGAAGCTGCTGCTTGCCTTCCAAGTCCGACGCCTGACAGGTGCTCAGGATGTTTTCAAAGTGGACGGCGTGGTGCTTGAGCCGGAGCCATTCAGCTGCATGGATCCTTTCTGCCTTGACTTCTGATTCGAACCTTGAAATAGCAATGGCCGTCGTCAAGGGCTGACACCGTTCTCCAACGCTGAAGAAGGTCATCAGGGTGCAGAGCGTTTACTGTGTCGCCCTTCAGAAGAGTTTTGATTCAGCTTGCGAGAAAACTGCTCGAAAGTTCATTTTTCGGCAGCTCAGGGTTGTAAGGTTTAGGGCGGCGGAGTTTGAGGGCCCAGGGTTCGTGGCCACAGACAGCAAGTGCTAAAGACAAATATACAGGTTTCTCGAGCGACTGCACAACCCAGAATGGCATGTGTGTCACAATGAACAGCTGGACGAGAAAGCACACTGCTCTTATGCAGGCATGTGGCTGCTGGCGCTCGTGCTTTGTACCGAAAGCTAGCACCACATGGACGGCTGAATTTCGACAAGCACCTTGATGGAAGGAGGTATGTTTGAGGGGTCGGCTCAATATTGACTCAACACGCTTCTTCTCGCCTGCTCGTTGGCGATGTCACCGTATGTCGCCTTCAAAGATTCAACTATGTCGTCAAACTACGTACAGCCAGCCTGCTTGGTGTGGAAAGGCTGCATACGGTCATCGAGAATGACATTGCCACTGCTATGCAGCTTGCGAACTGGGCTGTTCGAGGGATTCAGGAAGCTGTCTGGGAGGCGTCCATTCAGAGCCAGTGGAGTTCTGAAGAGAAGCGCACATAGCTTGGTTTCTCAGAAGATGACGGTTTGGAAGTTGGCTTCAGAAGCATCCCCACTTTTGTACTCAGTTTGTGCACCTCCAAGGAAACCGATCGCTTGTGGGCATTGCTACAGGCACTGGATGAAGAGAGCGACGTAGCTTCTTCAGCTGCAAGCAGTCCTCTAATGGCTTGCTGATGAGCTAGGACGTCGCAATTACCAAGGCAGTGAAACATGCTGGCAAGACGGTCATGGAGAGATCCAGCTCCATGCCATTAGATGGCTCGGTGCCGTGGCTAACTGCATGGCTTGCAGCAGTTGGAACCACTGTAGGCCTGTAGGCGCATTACAAGGGCTTGACAGCACATATGCCCCTCTGCAGCATTCAAGTTGCGATGTCGGGTTGCACAGTCGCTTCCAGCGTGGTCTAAGGAGAGCCAGTCAGCAGAGCCCAAGAGTCGCAGCCGCAAGATCAAGAAGACAAAATCCTCTGGACACATTGATCAGACAGTTGGAGTTGACCCTTGCCCTGTCATGGCATTGTTGAGCTGCGCAATGGGTAGAACCGCATGAAATTAAGACACAGATGGGAGCATGTGGGCACCGCAAGCTTCAGGACGCATTTGTGCATTTGGTCGTGTCCACCTACAAAGAGGCTGCAAGACTGGTATCCACAGTGGGAGAGCACTCAGCTGTATTTGCGCTGCCATGCCGATTTGAGAATATGATTTGATACTTGCAAAGGTATTGCAACACTGATTGATAATGAAATAGCAGCTGGTGACTTTTGCTAAGGCTGTTTTGCAGCGTCCTCTCCCTGCTTCGACTTTCGGTCCTCGTAGTCGTAGCGGTGGGACGCTTTGCACCGATCACGGTGCTACAAACATTGAGCTGGCTTCTCTCTTCGGTGTCCTGGTGCATCCTTGTGATGTATGTGAGCAGGCATGTCGTTTAACAACATGCTTGCAGGCTCATTCACCGTTGACGTCTGTCCTCTCAGGTACTCCTGGCAGTGTCTTTTGCTTGGGGTCCAGTCTTGCTGGATATCTTGCAATCTTTGGTGCTGCTTCTGCATGTGAACCCTTTTGACACTGGCGACATGATTGTCTTCCGCGGAAACTATCTGCAAGTACAGCAGATCAAGCTTCTCAACACAGTGTTTCGGGATCTCTGCGACGAGGTGCCTGGGAGTCAAACACGTACAGTAGTGCAATGTGCAGTATGCTGCAGTCGGACATGTGTGTCTTCTCGCAGGTACCTTTAGCAAGTCTGAGGACAGTCTACGAGACACCTCCAAGTAGAAAGGTCGTAGAAAAGCTTCCTCAAGTGCCTGGATGTTCTGCCGGAGATTGAACCCCTCAAGGCCCTTTGCTTAGGGAGCCCTGCATCGACGCTTTGTGCCCAGTAAGCCAGCATATCGGGTTAGACTAGAATTCTGAGAAGTTGGAAAGCGTTGTGCACGGCAAGGGTCGAGGCAACCTCTTTGGTTTTGTCTGATGAAGCCAGGAGATCTACATCCGCAACTCTGTGCTTTATGCCGATTGCGAGGGAATTCTCAACATCCGCAGATCTGGAAGAGCATCTGCAGCCATTGAGCTTTTGATTCCACCGCAATCTGCCACAAAGCCGAATCTGAAAGCACTTACTGCAGCCGCTCGGCGATATGCGATGGCGCATCCGGAAACGTGGCAAGAGCAAGTCTCTGTTGGAGTCTTTCCAACAAGCCAGCCTGGAGCCGCAGTAGTTGTTGGAATGGAGGCCTTTCCGAGTCAGGGTATACGATTGCGCATTTCAGCTACGCATCAGCTGTCCAAGTTGCAGGTGGGGCAAGTAAGAAGCGACGCCACTCAGTTTCTTATAGAATTACTGGAGGAAGCGACCAAACTCGGTGTTGAGTGGCCATCTCCTCATGTCGGGGACAGAGGCTTTGTCGTCAACAGCTGAAAGCCGACAGCTACCAAGAATAATTACTCTGAGAGCTGCAGATCTGCACAGCAGCCGCAAATTCTTGCATCCGTTCGTCTCGTATGCCGACGGCGGCCACGGCGGACATATCACCTTCGACAAGCAGACTGACACCGGCAGATCTTGACCGAGTTACCGCAACGCTGGGGTCTTTCTGGCTGTAAGATCTCGCAGAAGTCTTGCTGCTGGGTCGTCTACGCTGTCAGCATCTACAGAAGTACGCGGTGCACGAGTTTGCCTGAGTAGCCTCCTAAGTATGCCTACGCAGTTCAAGTTAATAGTGCCGGACGTTCGCGCAGAGCTGTTGGCTATTCAAAGATGCGAGACGTGCTCGAAGAAGTGACGTCCTAGCTTTGGGTGCGTGCCTGTACCGTGATGTCAGCCAAACTGAAGGACTGTTGCCCTGCCATCTTCTCTCAGGCGCGGCTCCGTGCGGCAACACTAGAATTTGCATCTACGAGGTGTCGATGATGACACGATCAGGTTGATCTCAAACGATGCTTGAGAAGAGCCGACTGGCAGCTTTCATCTCAGCTGCCCTGTGATGTGCATGAGGTCGGGAAACGGCATGCACGGAGCATATCAACGATTTTAGCTTTACAATGTGTTTGCGCACGTCCAACGCGGGACAGACTCTGCAGCTGTTCTCAGATGAAGCAGTAGATAGACGTAGCAACATGAAACCAGCACCAGGGCGGTGAAGGCTCGAGTCAGCTCCTGCTCGTTCCATGCCCGAGTTTAAGTAGGAACAGACTGGTATGGTTTTGCCAACGTAGTGACAAGCGAGAGGCCCGCTTGAGTTCATCCTCAGGCCACGCGCCAGAAGACTTTTCTGCTTGGGCTTTCACTTTCCGTTCCGACAGTTCGGATTAGACGACAACGGAAAGCAGGTTTCCGCCAGCTGTCAGCAGGCCAGGGCCAGGCCCGACAGACAAGTTTGTGAGAGACGAGGCAGGTGGAGAAATGGCCTTTGGCTCAAGCCTCTTTCGCTCAAAGAGCAACCCGCCAGATTTCGGGACTTGTCCTCAAGTGTCGCGCAAAGCGGGTGGGAACGGCTCTGACTGCAAATTCGTCTCCGTGTTCAGTTCTGCCATCGCACGGCTCCGCAACTTCCGAAGAGACACTTCGGCGGCACACCTTTTCCTTCGGTCCGTTCAGTACTCCCACGCTTCTCATGGTTTGTTCAGCTCCTTCCAATTCTGCCAAACTGATTTCTTCTACCACATTCCGCCACTAGGCGCCTCTTTTCGGAAGTAAGGGGGACACCGAAGATGGTCCTGCATGATTCAGGAGACGCATGTACTATTGGCTTGTTCTGCTGCTTAACAGGGTCCATGGCCCTTCAGACAGACCGTGAATGACCCAACGTCGCCGCTTTGTTGAGGCTAAACTTTCCAAAGTTCCGTTCTGGCGAAACCTGCCCGATTGTTCGAGCAAATAGAATTACTGTCACACACGAGGCGAGACTCTAGGCTAGAACCGATCAAAAAATACCGCCGGGAAGCAGGCCATGACCCAATGACCCACAGGCACTGCGCACGTAGCAAGGGGCAGGATGAGAGCACCGGTAAAGCGCATGACTGCACTGCAGAGATGCCCTCACCAGACCCACCTTCATGCCGAAGTTCCTATCCTGTGGCCAACATGTGCGCACAGGTCGACTTCCTCCAAGCAGGCATTGTCCATGTTGCGGAGGCAACTCGGGTGTGAGACCGGCGGTTTGAGCGCAAGTCTTCGTCTTTGCCGCAGGTATGCGGGCTCCTTGCCGACGGGATCATCTCCCCCAGAGTGGCAACTTCTTTGTCGAGGAATCCGGGCTTTGGCTTCAGAGGCTCCGATGCAAAGTTTGAGTGCAATGAGGAGATAGGCGTTTTTTTTGCTCCTGCGGTGCAGGAGCCTGGCATGGCTGCAGAGCTCTGTGCAGAACGCGTGTGCAAGCTGGCGGAGTCCTGGCTGCAGACCGAGAGATTGCACACGAACTCAAGCCTCCTGGTGCAACTGCCATCCGGCACGAAGGATTCGGAAGAGCGTTGCCGAGATCTCATCTCCTCCCTTCTGGATTCTATGAGTCGTCCCCCCTGACTGTGCCTGTCACAGTCGGTCCGAAGCGCGAATTTTCTTGCTGCCTAAGGCCTGGAAAGGTTGGCTGAGGCAGCCACAGCTTTGGAGGTCTTTTTGAAGAGGCGGGCAGTGCTTTTGTTTCAAAACGCGCTGTGTGTTTTGCGTTCACTTGCCGGTTCGTCCCGGATTTACTTAAGTCTGAAGTTCTAATCCTCTTCGAGGCCGCTGGGGTTTGCGCTTTTGGTTGGGGTCGTATCCGATCGGTCTTTCCTTTGTCGGTGCACCTCAGTGTACTTTGCCAGTTGCTGACTGCTGGCCTTGGAAGCAGATTGCAGGAGTCGTGCATCAGCGTGCAGGCTTCCAGGTTCCAACGAGGCACTGGTGATGAAGCGGGAGCAGCGACCGGAATACACGTGATACACGTCTGGCATTGACAAGCATGCGTGATTTGCCAGCCCGTCTTCCACCACATCACCTTCGATCATCTGTTCTGCACTCGGAGAGGAAAAGTGACCAGTTGCCTGATTAGCTGCTTGATGTGGATTTTCTTTGGTACGACCAAGGTTAAGTACGCCCAGACTGCACTCTCTCCTGGAGGCCATCCTGAACACGAATGCCGCCGATGTCAAGGCACCAGCCAACACGCGGCTCGCCAACTGAAGATGAGGGGCTTCCGAGGCCATACTACAGCGACGCTCTGCAAGCAGCCGGACGGCGTCGGAGCTGCTGTGGAGGTGCTACAGAGCCAGGTTGACAGGGAAGACTGCAGACATGTTCCCGAGATGCGGCGAGGTACTTTCAGCGGCAAGGCCATGAGAGGCCTGCATGGGCGCAGCTACAGCGTTTGGTCGAGGCACCTGAACAGGCCATCTGTCAGTGCAGGCTTTGGAGAAACTGGTCTCGCGAACATTCCCGATTCGCGAGCAAGGACATCCTAAAGATATTGCCTTAATCACGACAACTTTGAAACACATCGTAGGAAGATTCGGGAACGGTCGTTGTTGTGGTTGAGGGTTCAACTGCGCGCCAGTGTTCACAAGTAAGACCACAGCCTTCTTAGACTGTGGCATCTCTGGGCCATATTGCGGGCAATTCCGTTATGCGGAAGCGACGTTCAGTCTTGCGGAAAAGATCGGAACGGGGAAGCGACTCAGAGGCCACATGCCCCCTAATGACCAGCATCAAAGCCGACCTGACCTCGTGGCATGATTTGTCCTGCAAACCTTACGTTATGTGATCTTCCTCTCGTACGACCGGGCGCCTACCCCTGGGAAAACTTCTCACCGTCCATTCTTCCCCTTTGAATTTGAGATCTGATGCCAATTGCCAGGTTCGAGTAGGTAATCACGAAGTGTAGTAAGATGCATTGGTATTGCCTTTGTTTCTCTTAAAGTTTTAATCTCTGCCTCTGAACATTTGTTCAGCGCATGTGAAAGCGCCTCGTTTGGTACTAAGTAGCCGTACTGAGTTTTTGGTCCGATTCCGGCTAGTGGACATGCCATGTGTATAGTTTTCGTGTTGAGCGCTGGCAGTTCTACAACTTGAAAGACCGCATCAGATACCTCCACCTCGCGCAGGCCGTCGGGTGTCACGATCGCTTTGCGCATTGGTCGGTGACTGCGTTGTTTTGGCAGGAGCAGCGCAAGAGCGTGAGCTCTGCGTCTTTGCAAGAAGAGCTTTCGCTGAGATTGGGGGCGGTGCACCGGCCAGATTATGATAAGGGGGCATGCATCAGTTTCACAAAGTCTTGGTTCCTCACCGTTTCTTGTCAGCAAGCCCTTGCTGGCCCTGCTTTTGGAGGCCGAAAAGCTCCAGCAACCCTTGCTGCAGGACTGTGCCCTACTTGCGCAAGAGATAAGACAGGGAAGCTGTTGCGATCTTCGTTGATTCATGATGTGGGAGGTAGGTGTGAGTGTGTGTGGGTGTACTATCCAAGCTAGGATAAACCTCTGGGCAAAAGCAAGCAACACGATGGGAAGAGACTTGGACGCCAAGTTTTGTTTCTGCAAGAATGGAATATGCCTTCTGTTGTATCCATAACCGAGGTTGACCGATGAAGATGTTTTTCTCATACCTGCACCACAGCAATCCGTCTGTCAGCTTTCAACAAACTAACTGTGTGTACGTAAGCATGCATGCAGGTTTTCTTTATTCGTGGAGTTTGAGTCGTGCTTGTATGAGAAGATGATGATAAATGATGCCTTTCTCCGCGTACAACAACAGTCTGCCACGCGACTGTAAAAGCGTCTGGAAAGGTAACGTGAAGCTATTCTTCTCTCTTGTCTTCGCTGGGTTGATGCAATAGGAGCTGCTGGCCATGGCCGGGAACGAGAAGCAAGATGCAAGGCCAAACAAGGGTAATTCTCGGCTTTTCAATGTGCACGACCAACATTGCCCAGGTGGCGCGACGCAGCCCGCAGGCGCTGTTCAGAACTACAGCACCTGAGGAGTGCGCGTGAGCTTTACGAGGCTGCAGACAGAACTGCTTGGTACCGGCTGCTCCGAGAGTCAACGAACGTGACATCTTGAATGTCTCAGGGTTGTCGAGGGAGGTCGAACATGGGGATGAATGTGGAGTAGCAGGGGGCAACGGCGAAACTCATGATAGGTTTGGGGGGTGGCACAGCTTCCAACGAAAAGATTCCTTGTGTATGGTTACAGTCAGTGTGACCTGGACTAGATTTGTGAAGTCCATGACTGAGGTCTGCGCAAAAACCTGCTACCTTCATACCTTAGCTGAAAGTCTCTGTCAGGTGGCCGGTGAGTTCGGGTTCTGGCATTTGCAACTGGGCATCGCCGGCTTTTCAGGCATGGTTCGCTACTAGTAGACTAGTAGTGGCTAGTGTTGCCCAAGAGCTTTTGCATTCATAATCGTTTGGGCTATCGATGTCGCTCGGAAAGGCGTGAAAATGGCGCATGATGTGGCGACGACACTGCACGGGCCACAGACTGAAGCGTGAACCATCGCTCGTTGAATTGTGAACATGTTTCCGACTCTTTGCAGTTGGTCATCACAAAATTGTCCTGGAGGTGGGCTGGCTTCTTGTTTCCTGCTGATGGCCCCTACAATTCGCACAGCGACGAGGACCGTTTTTGGTGCGCACCCAGCTATCTCTATTCCTGCCATGAGCAGCAGGTAGCTTCACCCAAGCTGCTGTTCCCTTTGCTGATGCGGCGGCCGCACACGTGTTTCTTCGCCTCCAAGCAGGAATGCCTCTGGAGTCTTGCGTGCTGCAGTGGAAGGGATCGGGTTGAAACTGGAGCATCGAAAGGACGAGGTGGACTGGCAGCTGAAGCCGTCGCTTCTTCGCGATCGAGTGCTAGCATTTCTGCAGGAGCTCAAGGAGGCCACATAAGTCGGCCGAGCTGCTGAGGAAAGAGCCGGCTGTGCCTTTTGCGTGCTGGAGTTACAGGTAGCTCCAACCAGCCATCAGCTCTGGCATGTGCGAGGGGTCGGATGCCTAGTCAGACGTGGGGTTTAGAAGTCGCGATGAGCCAGCTCGATGTGTTTCAACATGTGTGCCAAGATTGCAACACTTCTGGAGTTCAGCAGCTGCTTGTGGCTAAATGCTTTGCAGAAGGCCGGGTTCCACAAGCATGCGCAGCAGGTAGTACCAAGCTAGATAAGTTCGGAGAACTAGGGTGCGATGATGAGCTGCAGATGCTTGCTGTACCTAGTAGCTGTTGGGGTGTAGCCAGCTTGACAATGTTTTATTCGTGGGCCAGCCCATGCACGCACATAATAAACTGCAACAGCTTGGCTACGTCGTTGCATTGTGAGTAAAGTTATGCGAACCTGCGGACACACAGCAAAGCTGTACAATCAGCAAGCAGGGGTGACCTTCATGGTACTATCTGATGGATTGCGTATCGAGGGTAGCTGTGCGTCTGTTGGCATCCATGTCACCCATGGGATCCATTTTGCGTGTGTGTACGCCACGTATGCTTCGACTACTGCCAGCTAACACTCCAGCCAATGATTGTGGCCCAACTTTGGAAAGCACAAATCCCAGCACACGGTCAATAAACAGTGACAGTGAGTGAAAGCTTCACAAACAGCCTGAAGATGGGTTCCAGGTTGTGCGGCCAAATCTAGCCCTGCTTGCGTGCCGCGTCCATGCTTCCTGTCCTTACTGTGCCGTGAACTCGGGTGGAACCTTGGCCCTGTGTCAAGCACCCGACTTCGCATAAGGAGGTTGGAGGCGGGCGCACGCGTAGCGCCAGGGCACCACCCGAGCGATGCTGAAACGCTTCCAGAAAATGCCACGAGTTTCACGTAGGTGGGCCATCTCTCAACGGATCCGGCCTTGCTAGCAGCCGTATGCAGTTAGCCTGGGCCTAGCCACCTTGAGGGAGGACTCTGAAAACTCCAGGAAGAGGGAAGGTTAATTTGCCGGTATGTGCATCATCGTTGATTAGTTTTTCGACATGTTTGGATCGAGGGCAAGTGCAGCAGCTGGGGAAAAAGATCTTATTCGCACCTTGAAAGGTCTGGGACATGGAAGTACAGAATACTAATGTT